CCACACACACACCACACCACCAACATGCCACACGACCACACACACACCACACACACCACACACACACTGGAGAGGCTCTGCTCCTGCTGCAGAAGACTTGAAGTCTCCTCAAAGGAACAGATGCCCCACTCAGGAGCACAGGTCAAAGGCTGTGCCTTCCCTTCTCTCCCCCGGGTGAGAGGCCCTGCTTGTCATCTGAAGAAGCAGAAACCAGCACTGTGCCTGGCAGAGGCTGGTGAGTGGTGATTTTGCTCCTGCCACTGGTGCTGCCCTGGGGATGGGGTAGAGGTGGGCACAGCTATGAGGCAGGCTGGGGTGAGGACCCCAGAAACCCCTCACTTCACACATCCCATTTTCCAGGTCCTTCTCTCCCCCAGTTTTGTACCCCAGGGTGATGGTTCTCCAAGAGATGCAGCCCTGAGGCATGATAAATCCTGAATTTTTTTTTTTTTTAGATGGGGTCTCTCAATCTGTTGCCCAGGCTGGAGGGCAATGGCTTGATCACAGGCTGACTGCGGCCTCAACCTCCCCGGGCTCAGTTGATCCACCTCTTCCTCCTGAATACCTTGGACCATAGGCATGTGCCACCATGCTTGGCTAATCTTCCTATTTTTTGTAGAGATGAGTTTTCAGCATGTTGCTCAGGCTGGCCTCAAATTCCTAGGTTCAAGTGATCTTCTTCCCTGGACCACCCAAAGTGCTAGGATTACAGGTACCAGCCACTGTGCCCGGTCCTGAAGGTCTTTGAGGGGGGTAAGGACTCAGGCAATTCAAGAAGCAGACCTCAGGCCGGGTGCAGTGGTTCGTGCCTACAATCCCAGCATTTAGGGAGGCCAAGGTGGGCAGATCACCTGAGGTCAGGAGTTCAAGACCAGCCTGGCCAACATGGAGAAATCCCACCTCTATTAAAAATACAAAACTTAGCTGAGTGTGGTGGCAGGTACCTGTAATCCCAGCTACTCAAAAGCTGACACAGGAAATTTCCTGAACCCGGGAAGCGGAGGTTGCAGTGAGCTGAGATCATACCACTGCATGCACTCCAGCCTTGGCAACAGAGCAACACTCTGCCTCAAAAAAAAAAAAAAAAGAAAAGAAAAGAAAAGAAAAGAAAAAGCAGACCTCTAGGGAACAGGAGGATCAACCAACTGAGATACTACAAGATAGGTTCTGGCTGGGCACAGTGGCTTACGCCTATAATTCCAGCACTTTTGGGAGGCCAAGGCAGGAGGATCGCTTGAGCCCAGGAATTCAAGACCAGCCTGGACAACAGAGTGAGATCCCTATCTCTACAAAAAATTTAAAAATTGACTGGGCACAGTGACACATGCCTGTGCCTGTGGTCCCAGCTACTCCAGAGGCTAAGGCAGGAGGATCACTTAGGCCCAGGAAGTCGAGACCAAAGTGAGCCATGATTGTGCCTCTGCACAATCATGTGCAGACTGGGTGACCAAGTGAGACCCTATCTCAAAAATAAATAAATAAAGGAAAAGAAAAAAGGTTATCTGCTCAGACATGTAAGCTAGCCTTGTGGCCAAGGCAGAGAGACTCTCATGGCCTATCTCAGAATAGCCACCTAATGACCATCAAAATCTTGACACATTGGCTGGGTGCAAAATGGTTCATGCCTGTAATCCCAGCACTTTGGGAAGCTGAAGGAAGAAGACTGTTTGAGGCCAGGAGTTCAAGACTTGAGCAACATAGGGAAACTCCATCTCTACAAACAATTTTTAAAATTTGTTGAGCATGGTAGTGTATACCTGTGGTCCCACCTACTCAGGAGGCTACGGCAGGAGGATTCCTTGAGCCCAGGAGGTGGAGGCTGCAGTGAGCCATGATGGCACACTCCAGCCTGGGTGACAGAGTGAGTGATACTTTGTCTAAAAACAAAAACAAAAACAACCTTGACACATTCCTCTACACCCCAGTTTCCCCCTTTTTTGTTGCTTATTTAATTTTTAAAAAACTTACTGTGGCGGTCAGGCACAGTGGCTCACGCCTGTAATCCCAGCACTTTGGAGGCTGAGGCAGGCAGATCACCTGATGTAAGGAATTCAAGACCAGCCTGGCCAACATGGTGAAACCCTGCCTCTACTAAAAATACAAAAAATTAGCCAGGCATAGTGGCACACACCTGTAATCCCAGCTACATGGGAGGCTGAGAGAGGAAAATCGCTTGAGCCAGGAGGTGGAGGTTGCAGTGAGCTGAGATCGTGCCACTGCACTTCATCCTGGATGATAGAGCAAGACTCCCTCTCAAAAAAAAAAAAAAAAAAAATTTCTCTGGCCTGCTTAATGCTTAAGTGTTTGAATTCCCCCGCCCCCCGTCACTTTTTATTATTATTATTATTAATTTTTTTTGGCAGCACTCAAGAGGCCATCATTTCCACCTCCATACTGGTCAGTCTGATTTTCTCCACATCCTTTCTATTCAAGCATCAAAGACTGGGGAAACTGAGTCATAAAAGAACAGATGTTCTAGAGTTTCAACGTTTATTCCTGGCATGACTAAGAGGACAGAAGAACCTGCTGACCTCATCCTACAGCTATACAGGCCTTGCCCTAAGATGTACCCTTATGTTTTTTGCCTGCAGTAGGTGGGGGCAGACTCTGCCTTCAGAAGGAACTACAAGATGTTTCTTTGTTTGTTTTGAGATGGAGTCTGGCACTGTCGCCTAGGTTGGAGTGCAGTGGTGCGATCTCGGCTCTCTGCAACCTCTGCCTCCTGGGTTCAAGTGATTCTCCTGCCTCAGCTTCCTGGATAGCTGGGATTACAGGCGCCCTCCACCATGCCCGGCTAATCTTTGTATTTTTAGTAGAGACGAGATTTCACCATGTTGGCCAGGCTAGTCTCAAACTCGTGACCTCAGGTGATCCACCCGCCTTGGCCTCCCAAAGTGCTGAGATTATACGTGTGAGCCATGGCACCCGGCCGGGAAATACAAGATGTTAATGAAAGAAGTTGAGAACATGGGCGAGGTGGTTCACGCCCATAATCCCAGCACTTTGGGAGGCCTGGGTGGGCAGATCACCTGAGGTCAGGAGTTCAAGACCAGCCTGGCCAACATGGTGAAACCCCGTCTCTACCAAAAATACAAAAATTAGCCAGGCCTGGTGGCGAGCGCCTATAATCCCAGCTACTCGGGAGGCTGAGGCTAGAGAATCGCTTGAAGCCAGGAGGTAGAGGTTGCAGTGAGCTGAGATCATGTCATTGCACTCAAGCCGGGGCAACAAGAGCACAGGAAGTCAGGGGACCTAGCCGGGACATACTGCCTTTTCCACCACCTAGCTGAGTGGCCCTAACCTCCCTGGCAGAGCCACTTAACCTCTTTGTTACTTCTGAAATGTGAACGAGGAGGATAGATGGATATAAGGCCCCTTACTGCTCTAAGAATCTGTGGGATTGGATTTCAGTTCAGCATCCATTTCCAGGTTTGCCCTCACCTTTCCAGTGAGAGACATCTGGGCAGGTAGGGCAAAGAGCAATTCTCTGGCTGCTGGTATAGTAGACCTAAGGCTTGGGCAAGTGCCTGATACAGAAGAAAAAGAATTGCCCCTTTTTCTCGGCAGCCAGGATAGAGACCCAGTGCCCAGCCTGCTTATACCTCCAACCCGGCCCATCCATCGCCTGACACACGAGTGCCGGGCGTGTTCTTGTCCCTCATTGCCGGCCCTACCTTTCCAGTTCTGGCAGTTTCTTGCTGGCTCTCCCTGCCTTGGGTTTCCCCCCAGCCCCCTCTCTGAGGGCAGCACCTTCCCATGTCCTGCCACAGGTCAGTGTAGCTGTGAAGGAGGCAGAGGAGTGAGTGTCTGAGACACGAGTGATCCGGGGCCTTCAAGCTGCAGAGTACAACCCTCGCACACAAGCTCGGATTCCTCCAGACGGTTGTCTTAGAGAAGGTGGAGATGTGATTTCCCGGGTTCTCCATGAAGGAGTCAACTATTCAAATTCCTCTATGTTCTTCTTCCTCTTACCCCTTCATTCCCTCTGTTTCTCCTGCCTTCCTCATCGCCATTCTTTCTTACATTATTTTGCTTCTTTCCTCAGTTCTCCAGGATCTTCACCTATTTATTTATTTTGAGATAGGGTATTACTCTGTCACCCAGACTGCAGTGCAGTGGAATGGTCATGGTTCTCTGCAGCCTTGACTTCCTGGGCTCAAACAATCCTCTCACCTCAGCCTCCTAAGTAGCTGGGACCACAGGTGCATGCCAACACGATCAGCGTTTTTTTTTGTTTTTTGTTTTTTTTTTTAGACAAGTTATCACTCTGTTGCCCAGGCTGGAGTGCAGGGTGTGGTGGTGGAGGGTGGTGGTCATCTCAGCTCACTGCAGCCTCGACCTCCTAGGCTCCAGTGATCCTTCCACTTCAGCCTCCCACCGACTAGCTGGGACTACAGGCGCATGGCACCACACCTGGCTAATATTCTGTATTTTTAGTAGAGATAGGGTTTTGCCATGTTGCCCAGGCTGGTCTCGAACTCCTGGGTTCAAGCAATCTGCCTGCCTTGCCCTCTCAAAGCGCTGGGGTTACAAGCGTGAGCCACTAAGCTTTGCCGAAGATTCCCCATGTTCCCACTGAACTTCCTTTTTCCTTCTCCTGGGTCACTCCTGAGCCCTGGCTGAGGGGAGAGAAGGGAAGGATAGCTCCTCCTGTGGCCGTCTCAGCATCCAAGGCAATCCTTCTGGGACTGCTCTGTCCCCAGGGCCCCAGCCATTCCCAGGCACTGAGTGCCTGAGGGGGGACCCTCACTCCTCTGGCACTATGGGAAGACAGGAAAACAGTGACTTCTCCTCAAAGCAGCCTCGCCGGTCAGCTGACTACCAACATGGGAAGTGGCCGAACATCCACATGGGATGGCGCGATAAGCACTTTGTAGTGTCTGAAACTCCTAAACGTCAGTGCTGTCTTCCCAGTTTTACAGACACAACTCTGTGGGTTGGGTGAGGTTTTCTTAAATGTACAAATGCAGAAATATACGGAGGGGTAAAGGGACTGCCTAAAAATCACATCTAGAGTGTGGTGTACCTGATTTCAAATCTTTTATTCTACTCTCGCGGCAACGGGAGAATCCGCAGTCAAGGGAAGTGAAATAACTTGCTGAACGCCGCACAGCGGACTCCAAGCCCCGAGCTCCTAGAGGAGAGGAGGAGGAAGGCAGGCTCAGCTCCCGCCACCCAGCAGCGGGGGAGATGCAGTCCGGGACTCGGCTGAGCCACGGGGACAGATCCAGGCCCCGCCCCCTGACCTTGTTCTCTGCCCGCCGGGAAGTGGGGAGCTTGCGGGGAGCAGCCTCAGCTCGTCTCTGGGGCAGAGTCTCCACTTGGGTGCACGCCCTGGGGTGGGGCTTATTTGGGAGGCTGGTGGCCTTGAACTCTGTTCAGGAGCTTGGGCCGGAGAAAGGCCCCGGAGACTTGAAGCCCTTGTCCGGGAGGGATGAAACACGCAAAGGAACCCGGGGAACGGGGTAGGGGACCAAGAGCAGGACCAGCTCCTCCTGCGCGGGGACAGGGCCAGTGGAGCGGCCTGGAGGAATCCCTCCCAGCCGCGAAGCCCAGGAAGGCTGCGAGGCCCCGGCGCGGAGCGGCCCCTCCCACCTCCCCGAGGGCGGGCGGAGCAAAGCCTTGGGGCCCGGGCCCAGGTTTTGTGCCTGCGGAGGCTGGACTTCCCCGCCACCCCGAGGAGCCACCGCGGGCCTTCTGTGCCTGGCAGGGTCCCTGGGAGGCCCGCGCTTTCTCTGAAAGTGAAAGGAGTGGGCGGGGGGCGCGGCCGAGGCGGGGCGCGGGCGGGCAGCGGCGCAGGCTCCGCCCCGGGGCCGTCTCCAGCCGGGGGCGCCGAGCCGCTCCAGTCCCCGGCGCGCCGCGGGCTGGTGGGCTCAGCGGCGGCGCCGGCACTGGGAAATGACCCTGCCCGGGGGCCCAACGGGCATGGCGCGGCCGGGGGGCGCGAGGCCTTGCAGCCCGGGGCTGGAGCGGGCCCCGCGCCGGAGTGTCGGGGAGCTGCGCCTGCTCTTCGAGGCGCGCTGTGCGGCGGTCGCTGCGGCCGCCGCCGCGGGGGAGCCCCGGGCTCGCGGGGCCAAGCGGCGTGGGGGACAGGTCCCCAACGGGCTTCCGCGGGCTCCCCCGGCCCGGGTGATCCCACAGCTGACCGTGACAGCCGAGGAGCCCGACGTGCCCCCGACCAGCCCTGGGCCGCCCGAGCGGGAGAGGGACTGCCTCCCGGCAGCGGGCTCTTCGCACCTGCAGCAGCCGCGCCGCCTTTCCACCTCGTCGGTCTCCTCCACTGGCTCCTCGTCGCTGCTCGAGGACTCGGAGGACGACCTGCTGAGCGACAGTGAGAGCCGGAGCCGCGGCAACGTGCAGCTGGAAGCGGGCGAGGACGTGGGTCAGGTACGGGCCGCGGGGGCGGGGCCAGCGCCGGGCGCGGGGGCTGCGCGGGGGACCCAGCTCGGAGCTCCCGGAGGACCCGCTCCTGTCCATGCTCCCTCCCGCGGAAGGTCCTGTTCTCGCGGTTTAGGAGGAATCTGGGGGTCAGAGGGAGGCGCCTGGCCGACCTCTCGCCTGGGCAACTTTCATTCCGGCTCCGCCGGCGGGTCGTGGCGCTGGCCCTGGGGCGTCTAAGAAGCGGGGCGAGGAGCAGGCGACCCGCCGCGGGGACTGGGCGAAGCGCGGGTAGCGGACCTTGTTGGCTGTGGGGTAGGACATGAGGGATCGGAAGGGCTGAGCCTTGCCGGGTGAACCCTCGGAAGGAGAGGGGCGAAGGAGCGTTTCCCTCACTCCCCGCCCCCTCTCTAGTGCCGTGGCCCCACCCCCGCCGTTGCCACGGTTTCCCTCTCCTGAGTGGGAGTGGAGCGGCGCTCCAGGCTCTGCTCGGGAGCCGCTGCCGTCTGCTCCCAGCGCCCGCACGAGGCGTGGACGCAGGGGAGGGAGGGGCGTAGGCCTGGGAGCTCTGGCTGGGAGCGGAACGCAGCCCACCCGGTGCGAGCCCTGCCTCCCATCCTCCCGGCTCGCCGCTCCTGAGCGCTGCAGAGAGGGACGGTAAACTGAGGCTGCAAGGGGGCGGGATCAGCCTGCTAGTCTCTGCCTCTGATAGCCTGGGTGTTCTGGGACCAGGTCTGACCCTCGGAAAACACAGCCCCGGGCACTGTTAAGTCATTCCTGACGCCCGCCACTAGGGATGTGCGGCTCCCGGGACACCCTCCTTGTTCCCCTCGTTTTAACCACGGCCAAATACCTTGAATAACTGTCCGTGGTCAGCGCGCAGGACTTGCTTTAGATCCACGTTAGACAAGTGTCCCTGAGGCCGAGGAAGAGGCGAGGGGCGCCCCTGGCCTCGGGCGTCTGGGGCCTGCCCAGAAGGCCGGGTCGGGTCGGCTCGGCAGGGCGGGGAGAGCTGTGGCCGCGCGTCTGCTCCGCCGCACACTCGATGGGACAAGGCGGGGAAGCTGTGGCGACTTGCAGGGGTTCACAATGCCGGAGGGCGATGGGGTTTGTCAGTGATACCAGAAGGGAAAAGCCTCACAGATCAGGAACACCTCCCGCCGCCAGGTGCTGGGTGCGCCGGGCTCGGTTACGAGCCCTGCCGCTTCCCCTTCTCCCGCGGTGCTCAGGGCAGCCCCGGACCCAGGATCGTTTCTGGGGTAACCCTTGCCTAGGTCAGGGGGCGGATGCCGGGGCTTCGCAGGATGGTGGAGTGTGGGGAAAAGCCTGAGCAGCAGCTCCGGGGGCGCGGCCCCCGCCGAAGTTCTGACACCTCAGAGGCGGCGCAGGCGAAAGGGCGCGAAGCGCGGGCGCGTCCCGTTTGCCTCTTCCGCCCGCAGGGACTCGGCGAAGTGCCTGGGAGAGGGAGTGTGCTAGGAGGAGGTCCCGCAGCCCATGCCTCGGTGTAGGAGAGACCGCCCCGGCTGAGGTCAAGCCTCGAGGACCTGGGCGACCCCGCCGCCCCCGAGCCGTCCGGAGTCGGTGCAAATCGCCGCTGAGGGCCTTTCCAGCTCCAAGGCTGCGGCTTCCAGGCCTTCCCCACCCCTAGGCCCGCCGGGGCCTCCCCGAAGGCAAACAGCCACAGCAGCAGCAGATAAGCCAGGGGCTGTTGACAGAGGCTGCCTGCGTCCGTGTGGAAGGGCCCAGGGCGGACTTTGCCTCGCGGCGGGTCCCAGAGCCGCACAGCGCGCCCGCCCAGGCCAATTTAGGGCTTTCCCAGGCAGGAAGCAAGGCAGGTCCGGCTGACCATGAAGGATGCACCTGGGCCGGACTCCAGGACTCCTGGCTTACCAGCCCCTTACGCGCGGCCCATGCAGGCCGAAGCGCAGGAAGGTTCTGCCTGCCTGCCTGCCTGCCTGCCTGCCTCTGCCTGGGGCATATGTAGTCCCCTTCACCTCCTAGGAGCTCTCTCCAGCCTGCCCAGAGCAGGGGAATTGAGACTGGGCAGCCTCACTCTGGCAGAGGAAAAAGTCATGGGCAGGCTTTTCCTAACCAGCCAGGGGAGAAGTTGGAGGCCCACCCCCAAGGTCAGCTTCATGATTCTAAGGCCTTGCCTGCCTCCTCAAACAATTGTGGGGTGTTGCTGGAGGAAAAGAGAGGGTGTTTGGCTCCTGTTCATCTGGTTTTCTTCTTGCTGTGCTCCAGGATAGGTAAGGAGACCTGGATGCCATCCCCTCCTGGACTCAGAATTCCCACACATCACTTTCCACTAATTATAGAGCAGAATTTAGGTTAACAGACTTCCTTTTTAAAAAGCTAATGCCCATGGGAAGGTGAAGTCGTGGCTCACTTATACCTTAGTGCAAATCGTTTTATAAATTTAAACTGATTGCTCTCCCCACCACCACGACCACAGGGAGTGCTAGTTTGATAGGGCAATTGGAACATGGGGAGGGTGTTGGGCTGGTAGAGAGCTTCGACCAGAGCCTGGATGACTGGAGGCAGGGAGCAAGGGTGAGTGCCGAAGACAGAGCATTCACCCATCTGCTGGTCTGCTCTGGCGTCAGCAGGTGTCTTCAAGGCTTCCAAATAGAGCTTAGACAAAGGAGGGTCTGAGGCTAGTAACCAGCTAAGCCCTGCCCAGAGAGAGGTGCTCCCTGTTCAGCCCTAGGAGTAAGGAATTATCAGAGGGCCCTCTTGTGACTTCATTAAAATCTCTCCCTAGGCAATCCTAGCCTTTGCCTCAAGATACCCAGGTAGCCTCTGGCTGTGTGTTGGTCTCCCAGAGAGAGCACCTTCGTGGAGGGAGGCCTGAGCCAGAGGATGTTCAAGCGCCTCCAGGCGTCAAGCAATTCTACTGCCTTAGCCTCCCAAGTAGCTGGGATTACAGGTGCCTACCACCACACTGGCTAAGTTTTGTATTTTTTTTTTTTTTTTTTTGAGACGGAGTCTGACTCTGTCGCCCGGGCTGGAGTGCAGTGGCCGGATCTCAGCTCACTGCAAGCTCCGCCCCCGGGTTTAGGCCATTCTCCTGCCTCAGCCTCCCGAGTAGCTGGGACTACAGGCGCCCGCCACCTCAGCTAGTTTTTTGTATTTTTTAGTAGAGACGGGATTTCACCGTGTTCGCCAGGATGGTCTCGATCTCCTGACCTCGTGATCCGCCCGTCTCGGCCTCCCAAAGTGCTGGGATTACAGGCTTGAGCCACCGCGCCCGGCCAAGTTTTGTATTTTTAATAGAGATGGGGTTTCACCATGTTGGCCAGGCTGCTCTTGAACTCCTGACCTCAAGTGATCCATCCGCCTTGGCCTCCCAAAGTGCTGAGACTACAGGTGTGAGCCACTGCGCCTGGCCTTAGATTCATTTTTAAAAGCGTGATGTTCTCTGGGGGAGGTATCTCCCTAAGATGGAAGGTGGCAGTGAGTTGAATTCCATGACACTTGCACAACTCCTGCCATGCTTGGCCATACCCATTACTGGCAGGGGGGCTAAATCTGTCATAGCAACCTCAGGTGGTGGAACGGAGAGCTCAGATGAGATAATGGGTGTGAAATTTTTTTGTAGGCTGGGAGCAGTGGCTCACACTTGTAATCCCAGCATGTTGGGAATCCAAGGCGGGAGGATCACTTCAACCCAGGAGTTCGAGGCCAGCCTGGGCAACATGGCAAAATCCTGTCTCTATTAAAAATACAAAAAAAAAAAAAAAAAAATGGCATGGTGGCTCACACCTGCAATCCCAGCACTTTAGGAGGCCATGGTGGGTGGATCACTTGAGGCCAGGAGTTTGAGACCAGCCTGGCCAACATGATGAAATGCTGTCTCTACTAAAAATACAAAAATTAGCCAGGTGTGGTGGTGCACGCCTGTAATCCCAGCTACTCAGGAGGCTGAGGCACGAGAATTGCTTAAACCTCAGAGTTTAAGACAGAGGTTGCAGTGAGCCGAGATCACACCACTCAAATACATACATACATACATACATACAAAAATACAAAAAATCAACCAGGCATGGTAACTCACACCTGTAGTCCCAGCTACTCTGGAGGCTGAGGTGGGAGGATCACCTGAACTCTGGAAGTCCAGGATGCAGTGAGCTGTGATCGCACCACTGGACTCCAGCCTGGGCAATGGGAGTGAGACCTTGTCTCAAAAAAAAAAAAAAAAGTATTTTGTAACCTGCTAGCTAGGACTGGCCTTAGTTGCTGCTGCTCTTGACTCTTATGAAATGCAGAAAACCAAGGTCAAGAGAGTAGGTGATGATGCCATTTTACCCCTGCTTGGGAGCAGGTCCATCAATCAAATGGTAGTAGCCCAGGTTTTCAGACACACATCAAATCTTCTACCAGGCCCACCTTCCAGCCCTCCTCACTGCTTCTGCACAGCTCTAAAAGGATGGTGCATTTCCCTCACCCTGCCTAACCCAAGGCAAGTTTCCTCTTCACTACATCCGTTCTGGTCCCACTATCCCCCAAATTCTTCTAGCAGGTCCCTACAACCATTAAATTCATTCTTTTGGATAAAGGCAAAGGTGACCATCCAGTAGAGAGGGCCCCCAGGCAGGTCTCAGTGTTCCCCAGAAGTCAAAACTCAGACTGCCTTAATGCTGCACCTCACTTCACCACATACAAAGCACTTTCTCATGCCATATCCCATTTAACCCCCAAAGGGAGGCAGGATGGTAGCATCCTGCTGGGGATACTTTGGAACCTGCTGGGGCAATTGAAACATGGGGAGGGAGGATGGGCTGATAGAGAGCTTCAGCCAGAGATGTGGAGGCTGGAGCAGGGTGTGAGAGGATGTAACTCTCCTTGATTTCCTTCTGTAAAATGGGAATAATACCACTTCATGCACTTGCTATGCATGTGCATTCGTTATGGCTCTCAAACTGAGTGTGGGAGAAGGGGGTACAGGATGGTGCTGCTGAATATACATGGCACATATATCATCTTCTTGGAATTTTACTTGAGGGTTTGGAGGTGGTGAGTTTTATAATAAAACTTGGATTTATTATGCAGCAGAATGCAAACCTGCTGTGTATTTAAAGATTTCAAAAGGAGTTTGAAAGTGATGTCATGCTTCTAGTGGGCTGCTTCTGGCTACACCCCCAGATCCCTGGGGACTGGGCACGTGATCACACCCTAGTGTGCCATGTAAGGGCTTCGGTAGGAAAGTGGGAGCAATGCTGCCTGATGAAAGATGAGAAAGTGCCTGACATGCAATAGGCAGGCAGCATTTGATGGTTCATGTTACGGCAGCAGCTATGTCCTCCCAGGGGAAACAGGCCCACACAGATGGCAGTATTTGGTTGGGTTCACTCGGATGGAAGGTGACACAGCCATGACTGCAACCAACTACTGACTCCCCCACCCAGTGCTCTGTCATAACCTCCATTTCCTCCCCATGGGAAAGGGCTTTATGGTCAGCAGCCCTCCTCTACTTAGGCCACCCCCTCAGTTCTCCCTCTCTCTCTTAGAACTCCCTCTTGTCAGGGAGGTATATTCCTGTGGGGGCATAACATGTGTAACTGTGCTAAAAGGCAAGCGCCTCTGGGGGGAGGCAGCAGACGCAGCTGACATGAGCCAACCTGTGCACTTCAGAGAGGACACAGGGCTGCTGAGTTGTGGGTGGGACAAGGAGAGGTCCAGAGGATGGGATGCTCTCAGGATTAGCTGGAGGCTAGAAAAGATAAGGGACACACCAAAAAAAAAAAAAAAAAAAAAAAACCTCCATCTCCTTCCCAGGTTTGTCTAAGTTGACAGGCCCTCAGGTTTGCACCTTATTTTATTTTATTTTATTTTATTTTATTTTATTTTATTTTTGAGATGGAATCTCAGGCTAGAGTGCAGTGGCTCGATCTCGACTCACTGCAACCTCCACCTCCCGGGTTCAAGCGATTCTCCTGCCTCAGCCTCCCGAGTAGCTGGGACCAGGCACATGCCACCATGTCTGGCTAATTTTTGTATTTTTAGTAGAGACAGGGTTTCACCATGTTGGCTAGGATGGTCTTGATCTCTTGACCTCGTGATCCAACCACTTCGATCTCCCAAAGTGCTAGGATTACAGGCGTGAGCCATCACGCCCAGCCCTGCACCTTATTTTCATGGCTTAAAATTTCTGGGTCTAGATCAAAACCAAGGGTGCCCTGGGCCTTGCCAGCTAATGAGTGCATGGAATCCAGGGATAGCAAGAGAGGCTTGGAGAGCCCCAGCCTGTTCTTTCTCCAGGCCCTGCCAGGCTGGCCTCCCTGCCCTGGGCCTGTGTACAGGTTTGTTTCTGTGTATGTCTGTCTCCCCCTAAATGAGAGGAACCAAGGTCCCAAGTGAAGGAATCAGTGATTGAGATTTGTTCAGCTTCTGCCTCATATCATGGAATGGGATGGGGGAGCTGGGCGCCTGTCATGCTGAAGACTTATTTACTACTCACAGCAACCCAGTAAGGATAGTTATTGCCTCATTTTGTAGATCCTTTTCTTACGGATGCACAGAGGCTTGTTTCTTGGGTCCTGGAATCTTTTGAGGCATTGGTAGTAATAAAAATTTGGGGGCTGGGTGCGGTAGCTCATGCCTGTAATCCCAGCACTTTGAAGAGGCCGAAGTGGGTGGATCACCTGAGGTCAGGAGTTGGAGACCAGCCAGACCAATGTGGTGAAACCCTGTCTCTACTAAAAATACAAAAAAATTAGCTGGGCGTGGTGGTGTGCACCTGTAGTCTCAGCTACTTGGGAGGCTGAAACAAGAGAACCGCTTGAACCCTGGAAGTAGAGGTTGCAGTGAGGCGAGATCGCACCACTGCACTCCAGCCTGGGCGACAGAACAAGACTCCATCTGGAAAAAAAAAAAAAAAAAAATTGGCCCTACTTTAGACCTACTTAGAATTTCCCTGCGGTAGGCCTGATAATCTGCAATTTTTAACAAGGGTGACCATCAGGTAATTCCGATGCTCACAACAGTTCAAACACCTCGACAGAGCATTTTCGTAACTTGCCCACGCGTTCTTCAGTGGCAGAGCTGGAGCGTAAACCGGGGGCTTCAGATGCTAAGTCCAGGCTCTTGACAGCTCATTGGAGACGCTGGAATCACCTTCACTGCGCCTGTATCAGCGCCCGCCACACAGGCGCACAATAAACCTTCCCAGAGTGAATGAATGAATGAATGACTCATCCAGCCCCAGCTGCTTCCGGTGGGTCGGGGGCGTGGTGAGACCCTGTTTCAGTGGAGGGAGGGCTTATGCATTGCCGAGACACCGATTTGCAGACTTTGACCCTGTCGCTTTCAGAAAAGCCACTGGCAGAAGATCCGAACCATGGTCAATCTGCCGGTCATAAGCCCTTTCAAGAAGCGCTACGCCTGGGTGCAGCTGGCAGGGCACACAGGTGAGCCGCGGGGCGGGTGGGCAGGTGCCCGCGACGGGAAGGGGCTGGGCGGCGCTGACGGATGCAGGTCCACAGGGAGTTTTAAGGCGGCGGGCACCAGCGGGCTGATCCTGAAGCGCTGCTCGGAGCCGGAGCGCTACTGCCTGGCGAGGCTGATGGCTGACGCGCTGCGCGGCTGCGTGCCTGCCTTCCACGGCGTGGTGGAGCATGACGGCGAAAGCTACCTGCAGCTGCAGGACCTACTAGATGGCTTCGACGGGCCCTGTGTGCTCGACTGCAAAATGGGCGTCAGGTATGCGTGCCCTGCCAGGTTGGTTGGGGGATCAAGTGGGGGTCCGGGGCTGGGACAACTGTTTGAGGGGGGCCCGGGGCGAGAGCTCGAAGGGGTCTCCGTGTGCGCCCCCTTATGCCCTGGCCGCTGCCCGCGTCCCCACAGGACTTACCTAGAGGAGGAGCTGACCAAGGCCCGTGAGCGGCCCAAGCTACGGAAGGACATGTACAAGAAGATGCTGGCGGTGGACCCTGAAGCGCCCACTGAGGAGGAGCACGCGCAGCGCGCAGTCACCAAGCCACGCTACATGCAGTGGCGGGAAGGCATCAGCTCCAGCACCACGCTCGGCTTCCGCATCGAGGGCATCAAGGTGGGGCAGGCGCGCTTCGACTGGCACCGCCCCAGCCCCACTGCGCCCTGTCTTTCCCGATCTGTCGGCGCCCACCTCCTCCGCTCCCGCCCTGCCTGCCCCTCCACCCTCTCCCACCGCCTCGCAGTCCCCTGCAACTGGGAGGTACCACTGCCCTAGGCTGTCCTCTTCCCCACTGGCGGGCCTGGGGCCCCTGACACTCCTGTCCCACCTCCAGAAAGCGGACGGTTCCTGCAGCACCGACTTCAAGACTACGCGAAGCCGGGAGCAGGTGCTTCGCGTCTTTGAAGAGTTTGTGCAAGGAGACGAGGAAGTGCTGGTGAGAGCGGGATCCCAACCCTGAGGTGTTAGGGAGCCTGAAACTAGGGACTGCCCCTGTCATCCGGCCCAGTGCCCTCAGCTGTGTCCCCACCGTGGCCTTCACCACACTGGGTCGCAACTGCTCTAGGCTCCTTCCCTTCTGGGCCACGCCGGGCGGCGTCCTGGGTCTTCCTCACAGCGGCATTTGCCAAGCCCAGCCTGGGTCCCGGCTCCTTATCGTTAGCAGGGGCTCACTTGGCGTTTAATTAACTTGCCCTCCTCTCCCACCCACCCTCTGCAGAGGCGGTATCTGAACCGCCTGCAGCAGATCCGGGACACCCTGGAGGTCTCTGAGTTCTTCAGGAGGCACGAGGTAAGCCGTGGCCGCCTGGGTGCCTGGCCGCGAGGGCTAGGGCGGGAACCCGGCGGGGGCGTCTCTGGGCAGGGCCGCGGCCTGACCGTGCGGGGCTCGCAGGTGATCGGCAGCTCGCTCCTCTTTGTGCACGATCACTGCCATCGCGCCGGTGTGTGGCTCATCGACTTCGGCAAGACCACGCCCCTCCCCGATGGCCAGATCCTGGACCACCGGCGGCCCTGGGAGGAGGGCAATCGCGAGGACGGCTATTTGCTGGGGCTGGACAATCTCATTGGCATCCTGGCCAGCCTGGCTGAGAGATGAGGCTGGACTCCTGTCCCCGTGGGCCGCCGCCCTGACATGTGGACCTGCAGCTTTGTCCCCACCGTGCATGCCGGCTTGAGACTGGAGCCCCGCGGTGCAGGGCAGTTCACCGGGTCCGCCAGGGCCAGGTGCCAACCACTAAGGGGGGGCACTGCCGATGCCAGGGGTTTCGCCCACCCCGGGCCCCAGCGTTCCCAGAGCCGAATGACACTAACTTATAGGAGGGGAGGGGGCAAAGGGCTTCTTCCTCAGGCCAGCTTTTCTGAGGAGGCTCCGCCCTCTCCAGAGGGGCCAGACCGTGGATTTTATTTAGCAAGCCTAGACCTTCTGGTCTAACCTCTCACACTACGATGGATTCCCCTTCCTAATAAAACTCAAAGACAAGATGCAGCTTCCTGTGCCTCAGCCCTCCGCCCCTCCCTCTGGTGCCCTCTTCCTGTATCCCTGGCATCCACTCAGATCGCTGGAAGATGAGAAGCGCTTTTTATTAGAAGCATCTGCAGGGTGGGGTTCTGCCCAGATGAAGGATGCTCATAGTAGGAGGGCAATCCAGTGCTCCCCATGGACACCTGGGGTGTGTGTAAGGTGGCCTCTGGCCCAAAGATCAAAAGCTGGAAGTGGCTGGGCCTTTCCCTGGGAGGCCTGGGCTGGTTTCCAGCATGGCAAGTGCAGTGCTGCCAGGCCAGCTCCGAGACAGGCCCAGACACAGAGCACAGACTGCAGGAAACAGGGGCCGCTGGCATAACAGGCCACCCAGGAGCCTGAGGAGTACAGGGAGGGACCCTCAGTGCCTCAGTCCTCACCCTCAGGGCTCCTTGGGGCTCAGGAGCGATAGGTGGGATTCCAGAGGTTCTGAGGTTGGAGGCCCCTGGATTTGAGGGGCTTGAGGCCAGAGGAAAGCCAGGGGCCAAGAGGGCTACCTCCCCAACTTTTCAACTTCCCTGGACTCAGTTCCTGGGGCTGTGGGGGTCTTAGGCACGCCAAAGATCTGTTCCCCAGCCCAGAAGCCCCTTCCTCCTCTGGGGTGGGCCCCAGCTCCATTGGCAGGGGTGAATTCAGCACATCAGGGTCCTGTAATGGAAGAGTCAGGCAGCACCGGGCATAGAGTTTTCTGGCCCCGCCTCCTGACCCACAAGACCAGGATGTCAGATTAGGTCAGGGGCACACCTGAGTGCAGTACTGAAGACGCTCCAAGATGCTGGCAAAGCTGGGGCGGAGCTCAGGCTCGTGCTGCCAACACTGGGTCATGATGCGGTACCTGGGGAGAGGCAAGAGTTCATGCCCACCCATGGCTGTGAAGGACCTCCCTTCCCAGGCAGCACTCAACTCACACAGGCCCTGGGCAGCCCCTAGGAGGGTCCATCCGGCCCCCTGCAATGACGAAGTCCAGCACCTCCTGGTTGGTGCGCCCAGGATAGGGCATGTAGCCCAGTGAGAAGATCTCCCAGAGAAGCACCCCAAAAGACCTGCATCACAAGTGGGGGAACCAAGTGAGACCCGTCAGGTGCAGCCTCCCCTCACATGAGGTGGCTGGAAAGGACAGGATTAGCCTCAGGGGAGGGGAACAGAGGAGAAGGGGAAGGGTATTATCACCAGGAATCTGTCTTGGATGTGAAGATGCCCTCCAGGAAGGCCTCTGGGGGCATCCACTTGACTGGGAGCAAGGCCCGGTCCCCCCTGCGGTAATAACTGGCCCTACAGGAGGGAGGAGGTGAATGATGAGTTGTTTACCACCAAGGTGCAGGCAAAACTCCCTTGGAGCAAGAGCCTTCCCACCTCCCCAAGTTCCGCACCGGTAGATATCTCGTGCCATCCCGAAGTCCCCAATCTTGGCCACACGGCTGGGCCCAGTGCAGCTCAGCAGGCAGTTCCGCGCAGCAATATCCCTACAGAGTAGGCAAAAAAATCACTGCCAGAATTCAGAAGTTCTTGCTCTTCCTGATCTATTTCCTTAAAAGCTATGTGGAAGGGCTGTTCCTTGGGGAGGGAGTGGGGATGGGGGTCCCCTGAGCCAGGACTGCTCCTAACCTGTGGATGAAATGATTTTCCTCCAGGTAGTGGCAGCCCTGGGCTACGTCCTGGGCCAGTTGCAGCAGATCCCGCATGACCAGAGGTGATGGCTGGTCCTGGGTCAGGCAGAGGGACATCAGTCCATGCAGGTCTCAGACACATGGACAGGGTCTTTAGAGGGGCCTGGGGGGCTGAGACAAGGGTCTCACCAGGTGTGGACGACTGTGCCTCAGGAAACTCTTCATGTCCCCTCCAGACATCAGTTCCAGCAGAATGAGGCGAGGGGCGGCCCTGAGGCTGAGCCCCACACACCGCACAATGTTCTGATGGCTAAACTTGCTGAGTGGGGTGGTGGACATACCCCGTCACCAGCAGGGAGATGGAAACTATGTTCTAGGCTCCACAAAGCTGGAAAGGCCCTCTGTGTCCCCTGACTTGCTACCTCAGCCTCAGGGTGAAGAGAAGCTGTTCCTGAGCCTTCCCTTCCCGCCTTCCAGCCCTGCCCCTGGGCCCGCATGCACCTGATGATGAGTGCCTCCATGAGGAAATCCAGCTCATCCTGAGGAGAGCAGAGTTCTGGCAGGGTCTGGGGAGGAAAAGGGCACAGTTTCTGAGTTGCCCTGGACACATCGGGAGGGGGGTTAACCCTAGCTGTAGTCATTGTCCTTCCCTTCAGGGTGTTCCACTCTTCTACCCCCAGCCAGAAGTCCCAATCCTCTCACCTTGATAGCCACCTGCAGGGGACTGGAGTCCCCAGGAAGGCCAATTACCAGTCCCTCATACACCTCCCCAAAGGCACCATGGCCCAGGGCTCTGCAGGAAGACAGGTTGGAAGGGAGTGGGCAGGCAGCCTGGAGAAGAGCCCTAGAGAGTCTAGTATCCCCTTTACCTCCCCTGCCCCTGCCATATGCCCAGCTGACCCTATATAGACTCTCTCCATACCATGGCATGTCCCCAAGTAGAAGCCCTGCAAGGGTGATGCTGACTGGCATAGAGCCAGGGCAAAAGAGAGGGCAGGTGTGGGTCAGAGTCAAGGTGAGAGTGCATGATGAGGACTTCCCTGGTGTCCCTGCAGATGCCCTGGGAGGGAGGCGATCCCTGGGCTCCAAGAGTCATATTCTCTCTCTCTTTTTTTTTTTTTTTAAGACAAAGTCTCGCTCTGTCACCCAGGCTGGAGTGTAATGGTGCAATCTCGGGTCACTACAACCTCTGCCTCCCGGGTTCAAGTGATTCTCTTGCCTCAGCCTCCTGAGTAGCTGGGATTACAGGCACGTGCCACCACGCCTGGCTAATTTTTGTGTTTTTAGTAGAGACAGGGTTTCACTATGTTGGCCAGGCTGATCTCGAACTCATGACCTCAGGTGATCCGCCTGCCTTGGCCTCCCGAAGTGCTGAGATTACAGGCGTGAGATCATATTTTTTTTTTATTGAGACAGAGTCTCACTCTGTCACCCTGGCTGGAGTGCAATGGTGCGATCTCGGCTTACCACGGCTCACCACAACCTCCGCCTCCCGGGTTAAGGCGACTCTCTTGCCTCAGCCTCCCACGTAGCTGGGATTACAGGCATGCACCACCCCGCCCAGATAATTTTGTATTTTTAGTAGAGATGGGGTTTCTCCATGTTGGTCAGGCTGGTCTCAAACCCCCGACCTCAGGTGACCTGCCCGCCTCGACCTCCCAAAGTGTTGGGATTATAGGCGTGAGCCACCACGCCCAGCTGCGAGATCATATTCTAAGAACTGGGACGGAGAGGTGACTTTGAGCAAGTTCCTTGCCCTTCTGGAGCTTCTCACGGCCTCCCTCTCCCGTACGCAAGGGATGTGGGCCAGATTTTTTCTGGGATTTATAATTCACTACAGCAGGGAGAGAATCAGAGGTGGGGATTCAGACTGCACAGGTTCTCAGGAAGAGGCAGAAGACTCACCTGAGCAGAGTAACACTGGCTGGGGAAACCTCGGTGACACCTGGGGGCAGAGGCCAGGACTGGGCTGGGCCAAGCCCCACCTGGCAATAATAGGGATTGGGGGCCGTCCTGATGGCAGAGGTTCGAAGCTTGCTCAGCTCAAGCTCAGGGCTCGGCAGCCTCGTCTCCCGCAGGCCCTGCCACTTCTTCTGCTTCACTGGGGGTGGGGAGAATAACGGCACACCCTCCGCCTGCCCATCAGGTCTCCCTCCCCCACCTGCCCAGGACACCCCTCCAGGTGCTCATTCTGGTAAACATTTTCCCCAGGCCCCCCCAGCTCCCTCCTATCTTAGAGTCCCACAGGAGTCTACCACTGCTCTGCTGCGGTGAGTGGTCGTGAAGTCAGCCCCGGGACCCCACAGAAGCCCATCCCAGCTCATTGGAGAGGAGCAGCCTTGAATCAGCTGTGCCTGCTAGATGCTTCGTACCCAGAATCAGGACCCCACACACCATAAAGAGGCTCAGTGTTGAGGTTGCCACCACAGCCACCATCAGAACCAGAGGGCCTGGGGGGTTGGGCAGGTCTAGGGAGAAAGAGAGACACCTCCAGTGGGAAGGTCTTCTCTGTTCCTCTACCCTCAAGTTTTACCCACGCTTCAAGACTCAGCTCAAGTGTTAATTTTTCCATGAAGCCTTCCCCCATTATCCTGGGCAAAAGCAACCTCTCCCTCTTGAACACCCCTAAGGCACTTTATACCTCCCACAACAATCGTCACTTGAGATATACATTTACATAGCTATATCTAAACAGCCTCCCACACTGGACGACATGCCTCTGAAAGGCACTGTGCACCCATGAATCTCCAGTCCCCTGCCCAGCACCCACCACAGGGCCTGGCACACAGCAAATCTCTATGCCATCTTTCCCAGTGGCCTACTGCTCCTCCCAGTCTGTGACCCCAGGAGTCCAGACCTTGGGCAAAGGTAGGACATACCCATGCAGGTGACGTTATCCACAGCTAGCTCCATGCCTTCTGGGCACAGGCACTCAGCCAACTGGAGCTCTGCCTGCCATTGGCAGTCTTTCAAAGGGCAGTGACTGCAGTTGAGGTGCCTTCGGATTTCTACCTCTCCGTGGTTCTCGGTGACTGTGAGTAAAAGAACTGATATGGTATGGTGTGGTGGGGCTGGGGCTGGGATATATTAAATACATGCCTTTGGCTGGGTATGGGGGCACACGCCTACAATCACTGCACTTTGGGAGGCCGAGGTGGGCAGATCACCAGAGGTCAGGAGTTCAAGACCAGCCTGGCCAACCCCGCCTCTGCTAAAAATACAAAAATTAGCCGGGTGTGGTGGCGCATGCCTGCAATCCCAGCTACTCCAGAGATTGAGGCTGCAGAATCACTTGAACCTGGGAGGCGGAGGTTGCAGTGACCCAAGCT